CCAGGTCTTTATCAGTTCTGCTGGATAAATAGCCAACCGCACTAGGTCCGGAGAGACAGCAAGGTGCTGTGCGGCGGAGCATTTGGGTCTCAAAGAAGCAGGTGAGCCTGGGCCCGAGGGGCTGGGTGGAGGAGCATCTTGGTGCTTCTCTGCTGGGGAAGAGACAGGGGACAGGGCATGCTTAGGAAGACAGGCAGGCTGACCCCGCCTGGAAGATACCCGGAGACAAGAGGGGTGGGCATGGTGACCACGTGCCCTTTTGGGTGAGATGCTGCTGGCCAGGGGCAGGAAGGCCCCCCGCTACCAACTCCATGTCACTCTCTCTCACCAGTGGCCACCACCATGGGTGCAGGCCCCGACCAGTCCTATTTCTCCGGCAATCACTGGTTCGTCTTCTCGGTGTACCTCCTCACCTTCCTGGTGGGGCTCCCCCTCAACCTGCTGGCCCTGGTAGTCTTCGGCAAGCTGCAGTGCTGCCCGGTGGCCGTGGACGTGCTCCTGCTCAACCTGACCGCCTCGGACCTGCTCCTGCTGCTGTTCCTGCCCTTCCGCATGGTGGAGGCGGCCAGTGGCATGCGCTGGCCCCTGCCCTTCATCCTCTGCCCGCTCTCTGGATTCATCTTCTTCACCACCATCTATCTCACCGCCCTCTTCCTGGCCGCTGTGAGTGTTGAGCGCTTCCTGAGCGTGGCCTACCCACTATGGTACAAGACCCGGCCGAGGCTGGGACAGGCGGGTCTGGTGAGTGTGGCCTGCTGGCTGTTGGCCTCTGCTCACTGCAGCGTGGTCTACATCGTGGAATTCTCGGGGGACACCTCCCACAGCCAGAGCATCAATGGGACCTGCTACCTGGAGTTCCGGAAGGACCAGCTAGCCTTCCTCCTGCCCGTACGGCTAGAGATGGCCGTGGTCCTCTTTGTGGTCCCCCTGATCATCACCAGCTACTGCTACAGCCGCCTGGTGTGGATCCTCGGCAGAGGGGGCAGCCACCGCCGGCAGAGGAGGGTGGCGGGGCTGGTGGCAGCCACACTGCTCAACTTCCTTGTCTCCTTTGGGCCCTACAACGTGTCCCACGTTGTGGGCTATATCTGCGGTGTAAGCCCGGCATGGAGGACCTACGTGATGCTTCTCAGCACCCTGAACTCCTGTGTCGACCCCTTTGTCTTCTACTTCTCCTCCTCCAGATTCCAAGCCGACTTTCATGAGCTGCTGAGGAGGCTGTGTGGGCTCTGGGGCCAGTGGCAGCAGGAGAGCAGCGTGGAGCTGAATGAGCAGAAGGGAGGGGAGGGGCAGAGAGAGGACCGTCCAGCTGAAGGAAAGAGCAGTGAACACTCACTGGGCTCTGGAACTGGTGGCCAGGTGGCCTGTGCCAAAAGCTAGGTCCTCTGCGGCAGGAGGGTGTAGCTGGCATGTCATCCTCAGGGCACTTTCTCGCTCACGCCAGGGACTTGGAGTGGCGAGCTGGGGTCCGATGGGGCTTGGGGGCAGAATTGACATCTGGCCTTCCTAAGGGTGTGCGCACTAAAGCCTAGCTCTCTATCTCACCTCCATCCCCATCCACCCACACACCATGGATTGGGCTCTGGAAAGGGGTCAGGGTGAGAGGCTGCTCTGGAGAACAATGAGGTTCTCGTAGCAGCAGGCAGCTCTTGTGCTTGTTCTTCTTTTGAGGCTGGCAAGAGAAGCTAGAAGCCGTGCCCAGGGTCTGACGGGGGCCCTGCCAAGTGAGTCAGGGGCCGGAAGAGGGGCAGACCCCTATCTCAGAGCTGCTCTGCCGAGCGAGTCAGGAGCGGGGGAGACAGGGCGCCCAGGAAAGGAGGCCACATTCTGCTCCCACAGTGCCTTTTCCAGAAAGTTCCCA